CGCCCGTCCGCGGCCAGCCTTCCGACGACGGGGCAGCGAATGCAAAGCGACCTGAAGCAAGGACAGCCGCTGTTTCCGGTCAAACACGGGGTCTGGTAGGATCAATCTGGTCGATCAAAGTGTTGGGAGAAGAGTCCTGATTTGTTGTGATCTGGATTGGTTGGAGTCTTTTTCTGCAATCTTCAATAAGGTTGTCTTTTCAGCTGTTCAATGAAATCCCCGCCTCAGCCATAGAGACTAGGCGGGGAAGATCACCTTGTCAGGGCATCGCAACTTTTGTCACCGTCACCAAGGTGTCAAATGTCGTGCGGTAAAACGCAGCATCAAACAGTCATGCAGCATTCAAAGAATCAGCGCAATCTTTAACATTAAATACATCAAGTGTCCTGCCACGAGTCCGCGACGAATTGGAGGACACTCCTCGTATCCCTTGCTGAGCGGCCCCCGCCAAAAAAACCAGAGCATTCCAGTGAGTATGCCATCAGTGTAAGCAACGGAGCATCAGGCCTCGAACTCGTTGTTCTTTTCGGGTCTTTGACAAATGCAACGACAAAAAAAAATACATCAAGTGAAAGAGTGTGAAAGATAGGCTTCTTGACTAACTCATGTCGCTCTTTGCTTGTAACTATGTAGATCACAAAGACTCTGTCACAATAGCGATGTGCTCCAACCTAATATCAATGGCCTCCCACCTAATAGCGTTTGAACTCTTGTCACTCAACATTTGATGAAATACATTGTCTCCTGTAGCATCAGCTAGTTTCCCAAGTGCCCGGCTCACCACGAAACCGCCTTTCATCAGAAGATTGCAGTGGACACGATAAATACATATAAACGAAAAGCCGTCAACTACAATCAATTATACACATGCTCTGAATACTACTCTGCACTGCACAACTCTGCACTCTATTGTGAGTAGAGGGCAAAGGAGGCAGTCCATTGGGTCATAGGTCAATGAGCCAAACGTCCTGAGGCCGCAGCTGCCAAACTCCTCGCATCTCTGACCATTGCTGCGCTGAGGCACAGCTCCTTGTATTGCAAGACATCGAAAGACAGACTGCCGGGGAGTGTTTTTCCATCTTGAACTACAGGCTGTAATGCTTTAGAACCTCAGGGCCTCAGTGTGTTGTCATTGTTGTGAGTTGTGATGTTGCATGGGTAGGACACCATTAACTGGCAAACCTTCTCACAGCGGGGTCTACTGCATCACACGTTACTGTTGCTGGTGCTGTTCTTGTGGTTGGCTGTCCGCTTTCCAATATCCTTTAACGCAAACCATGCTTGCCCCTCCTAATGACTTCTGCGACTCCCATGGAGTCTAGGTCTTCCCTTTCAGCTTCTGCAAGCCTCAGTCGGCTCCAAGGAACAATGTTCAACGCCGTTCAACGCCTAACACTTCACACCAACACATCATCTTTCAGTCTTCATCTAAAAAGTCACATCACTCATGCCTGTCAACACTCTACACCATCCTCTTCTTCGTTTCCTGACTCACAATGATTCACATACTCCCTTTAGTCCCAACGCTGCTTGCCATTGCTTTGCCCGTGCCAAAGCGGTGAGAGCGCTATTGTGAGCGATGGCCTCGGGTTCGATTCGACTGCGACCGCGATGTGATACTGAAACATCTGATGTCAAAGAGTCAAAGAAACCGGCATTACACCATATTACACCTATATATGTGACACTTAGATAGGGACGAAGAGAATCCAAATTCCAAAGCCATAGAGTCATAGTGTTTAGTGTTTGGTGCCTACTGGCTGCTGTGAACCCTGGGTCAGCGATATGCTGCACAACATGCTACTACCTGGTGATGCTGTGTGCATCATTCCAGAAGCTTTGGAGTGCTAATTGGTAAGGATCCGCTTGTACTCTGGTCCTAGTCAAGCATGCTGCATGAATCATGAACTGAATGCCAGGTCCTCCGGCTGATTTCTGAAGCCTCAAGCCTGCGGCTTCAAGGACTGCACGATGGCACAACCAAATATAATCGGTTTCAAGATTGAAGCATGTTGTTATCGTCGTTATGTTCATCCTCAATGCCTTCGCAAAGAGTTCCCTGTAGTGCTTTCACTTGCTTCAAACATCCTTTCACGCAAAGTGTCTTCATGAAGTCATGAAGTGCGGGGTGACTATGCAAGCCTCTGATCAGCCTTTGAGATGTTGATGTTTGTATAAATAAATAACTTATGGGGATTGATGGAAGGGGGTGTAGCCTGCCTTCCATAGATCTAAGCAGCAGAAGTGCCTGCACCTCAAGACAACACAAGCTGGTCACCATGAAAGACGAGCAGAATTTGCTCCTCCATGACATGTCCAAGCACCTACCATGCAATTGTAGCACTGGCTCCACTTGTGGTGCCCATCTACAGATATGAGACAAAAGCATGCACTTAATTTTTTGAGCCTAAGCCTAAGGATCACCACTTGTGCCTCCAATGGCCCGTGGTCCTCTTGAGACCTTCACCCAGGCAGTGCCCTTCGCACAAGCGGTGATCGCCGAGCCATGAAGAACTGCCTGAGTTTTCCACCCGCTCGACATGACGCAAATAAGAAATTATACAAGATTCCTGTTTTCGTTTTTTTGGGACCATTTCAGTGAAATTGATGCAATTGTCTACACCTCCTCAGTCTGTGACTTGACAAACAAGGACACAAAGTGTGGAAATTAGGTAAAAGATGGTAAAAGGACAGTGGCTGGTTCTGCATGACTCCATTGCTTCGAAGGAATCACAGAGATTCAGGACTGAGCCATCGAACAGTTGCACCAACGCGATGGTGGTACTCAAAGAACACTGCGAGCCTTGAACCGAATTCAATAAAACATCAGAGAGGCAACGTTTCTGTCAAACTCTTTCTATTTCATTCTATCTTGCAATCTATATAGAGCAATAGCTCCTGAAACGCTTTGTCGGTCATGAGTCATGAGTGACAAATTAACCAACCATGTCCATGATATCACATATACAGATACAGATGAATGATCTAATCCCCTTGCATCTGCTTGCTCTCCATCTCAAGATTACCGAGCTCCTGACGCACGCTGCCATTCGCAACCTGAACAGTTTGAGGCTCGGTGAGGGAAGTGAATTTGGTGCTGTCGGGACACCGGACACCTCTTCTCAAAACGACTGCAATGGCCAGCTTGTCTACATACTCTATACAATGTCAAAAATCTCTTTGCTGGGATTCCCGGCATGCTTCGCAGGCACTGACCAAGGCGCTCAGACTGAATGCGTTTGGCTGCAGTTTCATGTGGCCTTATCAGGCTTCGCAAAACGCCATTGGTGGTTCTGCTGAGACCAGTGGTTCTACCGAGGCCATTGATCATGTCTGCTTCACAGTTGCACCCTCGGCCTGACTTGTCGGAATCCTTCTTGGAACATGCAAGGGACTGATGATGTATCAAGCAAACAAGACTGAAACCTGCCGACCCCTAGTCCCCTGGGTCTTCGCTTTGAAGCTCCAACCTAATATACCGACAGTAAGTGTTTTGACCAGGTCAACTCTTGCAAAGTCTTGCGCACATCTACGAGTTGAGGTATGAACAAATCATAAAACATCCACGAAAAAGCATGACTTTGACAGCCTTGACACAACTTCCTTTCAGAAAACATCCAGTATGTGATCAGGGAAGCGTTCTGCAAATTTGGTCATCACATGTCATTTCCGATGTTGGGTGTGGCCAGAAACCCTTGCAATATCTTGCAATTGTGGATCATTCTGCGTCGTAGCCCCTGAAGTGATCCATCCCAATGGATCAAGGCTCTGATCGGAACCCTATGGACACGACTGACTCACCTGATCCTGCCACCGCTACTAGGAGCAAAGGGCATCGCTTCTAGGAGCAAGAACGCTACTAGGAGCAAAGGGCATCGCTAGGAGCAAGAACGCTGCTAGGAGCAAAGGGCATCGCTACTAGGGGCTCCTGGCCGTACTAATTACTAGGAACAAGAAGCTACTAGGAACAATAGATAAACAAAAATGACGAAAACACCGACGAGTTCGTCAGGACAATGCTGGCACGTTCGGTGGTCGGTTGTGCATCCGCAGTTGAACCTTTGCTTCCAGCATCTGTTCTGCTCGATCGGTATGACCACGTCCAAACACATGCGCTAACAAAAGCCAGAGTGAAGTGGCCTGCAATATCTTATTCCAGACCGATGTGTTTAAATCACACTCAAACAAGGCATGTCGAGGCAAACCTTACAAACACTCCTGCTGCAGCTGGATCCATCGGCTTCCCGACACATCTGGTCAAACAATGCCACGGCCACTTCCCATTTTTGCCCCTGCATGCACGGTGAGTAGAAACGACTCAAAGTTCACCGTATATAACTCAAGTCGATATTGGGAAAGTTGACTTCTCCTACATTGTTACACAAAACATAACAATGACAAAGAAAAAACACGGCCATTCTGGTCATTTTTGCGCCTCACAACTAAGCACAGTAACAGTAATCTTTCGAGTACCTGTCATGCCACCAAAAAGGGAAGCATGAAAGCATTGACAAGAAGGTGCCTTCTCACACGCCGATATGGCTGTGCTGAAGCTCATTACATCTGGTGGAGTCGACATCTCCTGGAAACAGTGTCAACAAGTGTTGCATCTGCTGCTTGTAAAGAAACTTAGCAATCAACAAGCTAAAGAAACAGAAGTACTCAAAGTTACTGAACATCCAAACATGGGAAAAGCTGGACTCTTTCAACAAACCCCTGTCTCCCTCCTCAATGAGGTCAAAAGCTAAATCCCAGCGCTTCAAACGCTCATAAAGGCTCAGCAACCTGATTGCAGAAGGGTTGCATATCAACACTGCCTGACTGACAAAGCACTTGGAAAGTCTGAGACTGTTGACGATAACATCTTCAAGCGGATGCAAACAGCAACGTGCAAAGTCTCCAGTGATCGTGGTTGAATAGCTACAGCATGTACAGCCAAGCAGTTTGAAGCATGTTCCAGTCTAAAGTCTCTCCAGGTCAACCCTTTCGACCATGAACAGTTAAGAAGCAAGCGCGTTGTAGGTGTAAATATCTTCCTTCAGACCTGCAAGGCACCGATCCGTACTTGATTCGCCCACTGGATACAGTATATAGCTGATGTCTCTCTTACACCACGTGCACGAACACCGAGTGGAGGCCACCATGGTGTGGTGGTAGTTCTACGTAGTTCTTCCATCCTCCACATGAGCCTTCAGAAGTGAGACGTGAATTGGATTCAAAGCACCAATGGAGCTACAACAAAAACCCCAAATTGTTTAGTGGTTTGACAGGGATCCACAAATCCCTCTCATGCCAGCTTTGCCATATTTATCTACAACGATTGCGTTTCCACGCAGTGGTTCGTGCCGCCCTAACTCGTAAGAAATCGCTCAACTCCATCCCTTTGCCATCTTGAATTCGTATGCCCCTTCTTTGCCGCTGTGCCATGTGACATGTGCCTTCTGGTGAAAAACTTCCGTTAAAGTGAATGTCACAACCTATCACATTCAGCCTATTTTCACCCGTTCAGCCGTCATTCTATACAAAACACTCATTTTCACCCTACCTTGCACATACTAGGGGTGTTGAGGTGCGGTTGGATGTGTGCTTTTAGAGAGATTTCGCCTGCTACAAGGTAAGGAAACCTTCTTCGAACATGTGAAGTATGCGGTCGCCAAAGAGAAGAACTTCGACAGCATTACCATCCCAGACCAATGGTCCCGGAATTATGGAATTAATGTTGTTTTGTTTTCGTTATTTTTGCCTTTTTTTTGGTGCTGGTATAGCTCGAAGTGCAAATTTCCTGGTGAGAAGCGTTATGTGAACCTCGGAGCGCACGAAGCACGGAGCGTTGATCTTGACATCTAGGTCTCATGTCAGATGGCAAAAGCCTGGTAGCCCTTAGCATTGTTGGAGTAGTCCCTTTCCTTCTTTAGGTTTTACTTTGGCAGCGCTTTGTAAACCTCACTGATCTAAGCATTCAAGTCTATTGTGAGATTGCCAAATCCTGGTGGCCCTCAGCATCCGCCGTGGGAAGGGTCTCACTTGCGCACGCAAAAATCACCTCACTTGCGCATGCGAACTCGATTTAGTTATGAAGGGGCCACGTCCAAAATCTCACTTGCGCGCGCCAAAGCTCACCTGCGCACACAGGCATGTTGCTGCACTAAAATGGTGCCTTCCTCCTCTAAATGTTACCCTCACGTGGCTCACAAAAGGTATGTGTGCACCATTGGACTTGCACCTTCCTCCTCCAAATTTTAACCTCGGGTGGCTCACAAAAGTTATGCACAGTTGGAATGGCCCCTTCCTCCTTTAATTCCTACCCTCGGGTGGCTCACAGAAGGTATGCGCCGTTGGAATTGCACTTTCCTTCTCATAAGTTTACCCTCGGGTGGCTCACCAAAGCTATGCACCGTTGGAATGGCTCCTTCCTCCCCTAAATTTTAAAAAAAGGCCTGCGTCGTTGGAATGGCACCTTCCTCCTCGAAATGTTACCGTCGGGTGGCTCACACAAGGTATGCACCGTTGGACTAGCACCTTCCTCATCCAAACTTTACCGTGGGGTGGCTTACAAAAAGGTATGCATCGTCGGAATGGCACCCTTCCTCCTCCAAATTTTGCCCCCGGGTGGTTCACAAAAGTTGGAGTGGTCCCTTTCCTTGGCAGCTCTACCCTGGTAGCCATCAAGAAGCTGGCAAAAGACTGGTTGCCCTTTTTCATCCAACCTCGGGTGGCTCACAGAAGATGTACAGCACTTTGCAAACCTCGCTGATAATAGAAAGATTGCGAAAGAGACTCACTACGCTACAAATAGACGAGAAGAGGGGAATAAAGCCAACCAGAAGAGAACTGGCAAAAGCCTGGTAGCCCTTAGCATCCAACCTCGGGTGGCTCACAGAAGATGTGCAATGTTGGAATGGTCCCTTTCCTTCTGTAAATTTGACCTTGGCTGTGCTTTGTAAACCTCACTGATCTAAGCATCCAAGTCTTTTGTGATATTGCCAAGTCTGGTGGCCTTAGCATCCGCCGTTATGGGGTTGCGGTGGATAAAGAAGCAAAGAAACGCAAGCAGGAAAGCAAGGAAGCTGAGAGAAACAGTAGGACAAAAAACAACCAAGCAAGAAAGAAGGTACAAAAAGCAGCAAAAGCGACAAAAGCACGGAAAGAAAGAGGATTCACAAAGAAGTAATGAACAGCAAGGAAAAGCAACACAAGCACAGCAAGAAAAGCAAAGAAGCACTGAGAAGCAAGGAAAAACAAAACACGTACAGAAAAAAAACACAAATTTGTTGTCTATAAACAATTTGCCAGCACAGAATGAATTCAAACTAATCCCAAACGATAGAAACGGTTCGTTTCATTTTGCTTGCTGATGTGCCATTTACATACTTCCCTTGTCACGCCTACCGACCTACACCCACTAAATGAGAAAGGGGTACTGTTGGATTCGAGTGAGCGCGTGCTCCAGTATTTTGATTCGCCACACTGCACGCTGCCTTGCTGGTGCAGCTGATGCTGCAAACTTAGAGCCGTCTCCAGCTCTTTGGCGGAGCATATGGCGCTGTTGAACCTTAGCGGGAGCTACACGGTGACATCATCAAAGCTATATAGATATGCAAGATGAGGGCTGGAGTGAATTGTGTGGGTAGTTCTTATTCCAACACCCAAGTTGCCAAAGACTACATGGTCGATGCTTTTTGACTGGCTACAAACTAGGAGAACAGTTCGCTACTGGGACAAAGTTGATGTTGAACTAGGTGGTGACTGGTGAATGCTGCCTTGTACACCATGCATGTGTTGTGCACCATGCAGCTGCAAGTACTTTGGTTTTGGTTAAGGTGAAAGCATCTAGCTTGGAGATGGGTTTCTCGTAAGCGGTCACTGTCAGGCTGTCAGGCCATGTTCAACTTTTCAGCATCAATCACAAATACTGTACTGTACTCCAAAGCAGCTTCCGATTCTTCTCTACAGTAGTGTCATGGCTGGCTCATTTTTTTTTGGTTGTTCGCGCTGTAGAGTCTTTAGCACAGCTCCCAGGAAAAACTGATCAAACTGCACACAAAGTAAGTATTGCTCCCCAACATGCTTGCCAACAAGCCATTGACGAGCTCTTTGGATACAATAATATCAACAATTAATCCGAGCATTGCCAACCACTCTCCACCTAAAAAGCTACCCACACTGCGGACCAGCTAGGGCTTCACACGTGATGATATTTGGTACCACCTGAAGCTCCCTCATCCATGAAAGCATTGACAAGGCCGCGCCTTGCAAGAAGCTTCATGCAACCTTGCTAATCCCTTTTGTGGCCATCTCTTCCTAACTTGCCTGCATACTGTATAATTGCATCATTACATATATATATGTGACTTACATATGTGGTCCACCTCTTGACCCTGACCGCGCACTTTTATGCCGGGGTCAAGTGCCTGCTGA